ATCCTGGATTTTCCAATGTATGTCCAACAGTGAGGTGTTATTGACGCAGTTTCGGGTGAATGAAGTTTTATCGAGCCACTAAATTCAAGTCTTGAAGCGTAGTCGGCAGGTTTTAAAGTTTGTAGAGGTAAAATGTGGCACGGGTACTAACCGAAATTGAGTAAAGTTATCTACACGTTCATCTGATCTACGTTAAGTCTATGATCTATCGTAAATATTGCCTCTTCTTCTGCTACTAGCAGTAGGAAACTTGCCTGTTTCTCTCAAGCATCACTGGACATTGCCAAAAACAGTTCTACAAGGCACTTTACGAGTGCGAATTCGCAGTTTGCATTACACAATCAATAAACAAAGAGAATGTCGGCGTATTCTTCATTCGAACAAGTAAATATTATACCTGGAAAGACGCTTGGCAGCTCAGTTAGAATAGCGTTCTGTGGATGTATTCATTTGATATTTTTAGCTTGAAATCGCCCCAGCAACAGACTCCCAAACTCTGACAGCCATGTCGTGGGGCAGTACAGAGCAGAATACGAGCAAGTTTTAGAAGCTAACAGTCTCTCTGTAGAAGTTTCCTAGATAAAAGAAGTGTAAATTCGTATTTCATCTGAATTGTTGTACATTGTTTTGGCAAATAAAACTTGTTACTTTCGAAAAATCGATGAAATCGATTCTTCGACATATTCAGAAAAACTGAAAATGGGCCCCTTAATATTAAAAATGGGATATAACTTAAAGACTGTATCTCAGATGTTAGTTTCTTTTACATGACGATATAGCCCGTATAGGCAGCTAAAACTTTTGAATTTAAGGTTTTCACCTATTGTAAAGGGTGTTCCAGATATTCCGTGCAATATAAGAAGTATCCTAAATTTGCAGATATCGACTTCAAATTTAGCAGAGAAGTAAAACTCCTTGGCCACATTTAAACAGTAGAAATTGGGGGCAATCAAATTTCAGAATTAAAAAAAAAAGATTATTTTGGTTATTATATATATTATTATATTATATATATTGTATGTAATATATTGTATATACATATATATATACATATATATATATGTATATATATATGTATATATATATGTATATATATATGTATATATATATGTATATATATATGTATATATATATGTATATATATATGTATATATATATATGTATATATATATGTATATATATATGTATATATATATATATATATATATATATATATATATATATATATATATATATATATATATATATATATATATATATATATGTATATATATATATATATATATATATATATATATATATATGTATATATATATGTATATATATATATATATATATATATATATATATATATATATATATATATATATATATATGTATATATATATGTATATATATATATATAGGTTATTATACAGTGTGTCCAAGATAAGGATGCACAGCATGGGGATCTCGGAAACTATAAGAGATACAGTGTCGGTTAAATTAGACAAAAGTTGCGCATTTTGATACCGAACAAGATCCCGTTTTACAAATTTGAAAATTCCAAGCCGTTCCGGAAATATCCGAGAAAAACCGAAATATTGCGATTTCGTTTTTATTATTTTTTAAAGCTATTTGAAAAGATATGAAAAAACGGAAAACACTTTCCCATTGGCACTTTTTAATCTCTCCAAATTGACGTTAACAAATTTTCATTACAGCGTTTCGATTCCATGGAACCACCATCAACTTTGATTTTTCTTATGGGACGGAAAAAAAGTACACACAGTATTAGGTTGTGCTTTTCATTGCGAATTCAACGATGTACGATACAATATGGTTACTTATGTTTTTATCCAGAAAAATGGATTTTTAATACATTTCAGCATTTAAATGGAGTAGGCCATGACAAAATGACATCCAGTCAATTTCAATGACACATTAATGTTATTTGTCTTTGTTATCAGTCGATCATAAGTTTATTCCTTTAGTTATTGTTTTTGTATTTTTATTGTTGTTGTCTTTTTCTAATTTATTTTGTTCTACAATGGAGGGAGGTAATTTTACAAACGAAGAAAAATGTGATATGCTGTCTTGCTACATCTGATGCCAAAGAAATTGTGTGGAAGCCGAGCGTATGTATTCTAACAAATACCCAGAGCGGAGACAACCTGACAAGAGTATTTTTCGGCGTTTGTTATTTAATCTGAAAGAATATGGATCATTTAAGAAGCCTGCATTATCCCGACAAAAACCTTCCAATGAAGAAAACCAATACATTGTTCTACAATCTGTTATCGAAAATCCACAAACTTCTACCAGAGAAATTGAAGACCAGAATGGGGTAGCTAAATCTACAGCTCAGTTTATTTTAAGGAAAAATGAATTTAAGCCTTACAAATTCAGAATATGTCAAGGATTAAAACCGGGTGACGACGAACGACGTAGACATTTTTGTGAGTGGTATACCAGGATGTGTGATGAGAGTTTTAATTTTCCATATAAAGTGATTTGGTCTGATGAAAGTATGGTGACCAATAACGGTATTTATAACAGGCGCAATACACACTATTGGTCGCAACAAAATCCACGTGTTAATAGACTATCCAGACATCAAGTTCGCTTTGGGTTTAATATTTGGTGTGGGATTTTTGGTAGCAAGATTATAGGCCCTATTTTCTATAATAATTCCTTAACTTCCGAGCGGTACCTTGACATCTTGAGGCACGATTTAGAAGATGCCTTAGATGATTTACCGCTAGGCGCTGTGCAAGGCTGCTGGTTCCAACAAGATGGTGCCCCAGCCCATAACTCCAGAGAAGTTCGCCAATATTTAACTGAACGGTTTAATGGAAAATACATTGGGACTTACAGTGAAACACCTTGGCCTCCAAGGTCCCCGGACTTAACTCCCTTGGACTTTTTCTTATGGGGCTACATAAAAAATGAGGTATTCAAAGAATGTTTTGACCACGAGGAACAATTACGTCAATCAGTACGAGCAGCGTTTAATAAAATTACTCCTGAAATGTTAAATCGTGTTTTGGAGTCTACCGTGAGACGGGCGTACTTATGCCTAGAAAATGGAGGTCATTTATTCGAACATTTGTTATAGAATTTGTTTTTCATTAACTTGTTGGATTTAGTTGTTATGTTAAATGAACAGTTAGAGTTAGTAAATAAATAAACACATTAACTCGAACTTGTCAACCATTTTCTTTTGCCTTTCATCGTTCGGATCTCATGGCCTACTACAATAAAATACTAGAAATGTATTAAAAAGCCATTTTTCTGGATAAAAACATAAGTAACCGTATTGTATCGTACATCGTTGAATTCGCAATGAAAAGCACCACCTAATACTGTGTGTACTTTTTTTCCGTCCCATAAGAAAAATCAAAGTTGATGGTGGTTCCATGGAATCGAAACGCTGTAATGAAAATTTGTTAACGTCAATTTGGAGAGATTAAAAAGTGCCAATGGAAAAGTGTTTTCCGTTTTTTCATATCTTTTCAAATAGCTTTAAAAAATAATAAAAACGAAATCGCAATATTTCGGTTTTTCTCGGATATTTCCGGAACGGCTTGGAATTTTCAAATTTGTAAAACGGGATCTTGTTCGGTATCAAAATGCGCAACTTTTGTCTAATTTAACCGACACTGTATCTCTTATAGTTTCCGAGATCCCCATGCTGTGCATCCTTATCTTGGACACACTGTATACATTATATGGGGATGGTTATTTTGGCTTCCAGAAAAACATGTTTTTTTGTTCCATGACCATTCACCCGATCGGCAAAATGATTTAACCAGCAAACGCGGAAGTGCCATAACAGTTATTTCAGTTCAGTTATTTCATTTTTTTTTCGATTATATACAGGCTTTTCCAATTTCAAAATCTAAAAAACCCAGAAAATTGTTCTTTTTTAGAGTAAATTATTAACCGCAAATTAAAAATCGTAAAACACATGGCTAGTCGGTTCAAACAGTGTCATAGGCCGCATCAAGAGCTACAAAAAATCCATATGAAAATCACTGTTGCGGGGGCTCAGTCAAGACGCGATGATGTCATTGATTATTACGGGGCACTGCATGGTTTCAGGAAAAACTTATTTTCTCGAAAACCTTTTACTATTTTGGCAAAATTCTTGGACCAGAAAACGTCTAAGATTCAGGGCTATAACCTCCAATTCCGGATTTTTTCAAATATGTACAGGATGTCTCGATTATGGGTAAAAAAATTATTAGTCGTAAATATAAAACTACAAAGCATGGGATAATTTGGTTTAAAACGTGTCGTAAAGTGTAGAGTGCGCTAGATACTTGGAATCATATCACTGGAAATCGTATTTTTTATATCTATCAAAGTTTGTCGTCACTTTAAAATGCGATACTTGAAGGATGCTATATAGTGTGTATACACAATATATTTACATCGACTTTGCGAAAGTTCCATAGTGGTCCGCAGGAACACGATAGAAAAACAATGCGTCCCTCAAACACAAGAAACCGCGAAACGGCTTCCTTTTGAAATAAAGGGACGATTTTTCGAAAGCATATTGTTACCAGTTATATTTATTATATAAAATATGTATAATATTGTAATATAAACTATTACTATTATTAATCAAATAAAATTGTTTATTTGAAAGGCTTTTATAATGTGATTTATTATATCATTATTGTTGGACGTACCTACGTAGTTCCCAGGGTGGCTCATTAATATTCGTACACACGAACTAATCATCCCCGCACCACGTGTTTATTATTAAGGCGGCGTGACTAAGCGCCGACAAAGCAAAAATGCCGACGAGGATGAGAGGATGACAAGGGGTTTGATTTTCGAAATCATAATCTTTACGATCATTGATACGTTCAACACGCCCGCGATATATCGAAGTGAAAATAGACAGTTTGAGTGAATTTGACTATTATTTGGTATCCCATTAGCGATTATATATTATTTAAAACAGGCTTGAGAAATTTGTAAACACATTGTCAAACATTTATATAACGCAGGGCCAGTCGATGTGCGACGAAAGCCTGATCACGGGCGAGAGCATGCCGGTGCCGAAGAAAATCGGCAGCGCCGTGATCGGCGGCTCGATAAACCAGCACGGGTTGCTCGTGGTCGAGGCGACACACACCGGCGAGGCCACCACCCTCTCTCAAATCGTCAAGCTGGTCGAGGAGGCGCAGACATCGAAGGCGCCCATCCAACATTTGGCGGACAAGATCGCGGGCTACTTCGTACCGGCCGTGGTCGGCGCATCGCTAGTCACGCTGATCGTGTGGACCGTCATCGGGTCGTTGGACATCGACAGGCTGCCGGTGTCCCCGCACGATCGCCAAGGTTTCACCGACACCGAAATCCTGTTGCAGTTTGTGTTCCGCTGCGCCCTCAGTGTGCTCGCGATCGCGTGTCCCTGCGCGTTAGGCCTGGCCACGCCCACTGCCGTCATGGTCGGTACTGGAGTCGGCGCCCTCAACGGCATACTCATCAAAGGGGCGGGACCTTTGGAGAACGCGCACAAGATCAAAGCGATCATGTTTGACAAAACGGGCACCATCACCAAAGGCACCCCCGAGGTGGCCAAGTTGTGGATGCGGGGCGACCGCTACGCCCCCGCCGTCGTGTTGGCGGCGCTCGGATGCGCCGAGGCTAACTCGGAGCACCCGATCGCGGCTGCCATTTTGAAATACGTGCGGGACGCGTTGGGATGCGAGCCGAGCGGCACCACAGCCAACTTCCAGACGGTGCCGGGTTGCGGGCTGAAGTGCGACGTTTCGAACCTGTCGGAAACGGTGGGGAACGCGCGGAACAGCCCGGAACTGAGCGGCTTCGCGTCGCTCGTCGCCGCCGGCAGTTCCGGCACGTTCAAGGTTAAAGGGGTCGACGTCGAGGTGTCGCAACCGGCGTCGTCGACGACCACGAAATTGGGACAGCTGATCGGGATGGGGGGCGACGCGCCCGACGACGGACGCGGCGAGTACCAGGTGATCGTCGGCAATCGGGAGTGGATGAAGAGGAACGGGCTCGCGTTGACGCCCGAAGTCGACAAGGAGATGGTGACGGAGGAGGAGGAGGGCAGGTCGGCGGTGCTGTGCGCGATCAACGGCGCCGTCGTCGCCATGGTCAGCGTCGCCGACATGGTGAAGCCGGAGGCGCACCTCGCGGTCTACGCGCTGAAGAAGATGGGCATCGAGGTGATTTTGTTGACGGGGGATAATCGGCAGACGGCCGCGAGTATCGCGAAGCAGGTGGGCATCGGGAAGGTGTTCGCGGAGGTGCTGCCCTCGCACAAAGTCGCCAGAGTTCAAAGGTGAGCCGTTTTAGCTCCGCCCCCCTCAAACAATATATATAAAAGCACTAAGTAAAAACACAGTAAAATGCTATGCTAGCTAGTTCGACTCAACAAAAACCGACGCAGGAGGAATCCAGAAGTTTTGTAACAAGTATTACAGTAGCCTGTGGAAGTTTCTTTGAAAAATTAAAAGCAAACATATTTTTTTTAAATATTGTTTTTCTTGGTCAGACCAGGAATTTGTCAGCCCACCCTCGTATGACGTCACTCATCGATTCGCCGCGTTATTTTCTTTTTTATGCAAACCCGCAGGTACCAGAGCAAAGGAATAAAAGTGGCGATGGTCGGAGACGGCATAAACGACTCGCCGGCACTAGCGCAAGCCGATGTCGGTATGGCGATAGCGTCCGGGACGGACGTCGCCGTCGAAGCGGCCCACGTCGTCCTCATGAGGAACGACCTCCTCGACGTGGTCGCTTGCCTGCAGCTCAGCCGCAAAACCGTCAATCGCATACGTCTCAACTTTGTATTCGCGAGTATGTACAACCTTCTAGGTAAAACTGTGGCCTTGTTTTTGGGGAAAAAAAACGAAACGGGAAGTTTTTTTAGGAATCCCGTTGGCTGCGGGCGCTTTCAGCACCTTCGGGTTCACGTTGGTGCCGTGGATGGCCAGTGCAGCCATGGCGATGAGCTCGGTTTCGGTCGTTGCTTCGAGTTTGCTGCTGAAACTGTGGCGCAAACCGACCAGGAAAGACCTGGAGACTGCTGAATACCTGAGCAATCGGTACCAGTGGACTTTGGAGGCGGTGTCCGTGCATCGTGGCTTGGACGATGCCGAGAGCGTCGGGGGCGGTAGCCCGTCAATGCTGTCGAGGTACAATAGAGCTTGCGATGAGTACTAATGTTACGCTATTAACCGACCATAGGTGGAGGATATTATAAACCAGCTAGATCACAAAACCTGCCGAGTTTACAGTTCCTATTTGTTGCCATATCGATTACCAAGAATGTATTCAGTCAATACTTGGCGAAACTTAAAATGGCTTTATAAGAAAACAAAATAATTTCTAGAATTTTCACATATATTTTTAAGCAGAGTGATTTAAATTAAACGTTCATTGTTAGTAACTGTTATGAGCAGAGTAAAGTTTGGGAAAAAACGAGGAAAATGTACTCTTTGTAAATGGTACACCCTGTATATTTTTACTCTAACCTTCGTAAATCGTCAACAGAACAAAAAAGGTCAATTGCAATATCAGCCTAAAATTGAAAATAAGCGAATTATCAGCACATTTCTCTTTTAGACCACATGGATGTGGGTGGTGGCGAAATAAAATTTCATTTTTCTTTTATTTTATTTGAGCCTAAGAAACATGGAAATAAGAAAATAGAAAAACAAAACTAAAAAATCTAATTAATTAATGATTAACTATTAAAGTTATTTTAAGAGGTGTTCAAAAACAGCACCTCGTACTTCAATACACTTTTGAGTTCGTCTCTCTATTGAGCTTTCTGGTATATTTTTTCTCTTATTGCAACTTTTAAAATGTCAACGTATTGATATCTTTCCTTATAAATTTCGTCTTTTAAATAACCCCGCAAGTAAAAATCAAGTGGGCTTATATCTGACTACCTAGGAGGTCAAGGAATATGTCCAATCTATTTATTGTTGAAAATGAAGTCATGAGATGGTGTGCCATCTTGGTAATGAAGATTCTGCCCACCTATGAGGCCCAGCTCATCTACAAAAAGAAACCATCCAGAATTTGGTAATGATTCGTAAAAAATAAAGACCAATTATATCTTAACCAAACATTAAAGGTGGAATGATCTTGTAGACCTCAGTGATGTACGTACTAGCAATAAATTTTCTATTGGCCAATAATGATCATTTTTTGGATTCGCCAGCCCACAAAATATATCGAAAATTATTTATGTTTTGGTGGCAAACGTTATACCAATGAGTCATCTCTCTGCATCTCATGTCAAAAGCATCTGTGCAAGACGGAATTTGTAAAGGCAAAATTTGTTTTTTTTTTTTTTTAATCTGGACTAGAATTGTCACGAATGCTTCAAAATTGCGATACCAATTTCCACGTCTTTACTTATAACAAATTTTTTTCGACCCTTTTTCGGAATCGATAAATGCGCAGAAAAAATTGTTCATGTGGTGGAACGCGCTGTGGATATAGGTCTATATATCGTTCTCACGTCCTTACAGACGATGTCGCAATGTTCTTCCTGTGTAAAAAACCATTTCTCAATAAGTGATACGGTAAAATTATTTTAAATAATTTATAAGAATTGATATAACCCTACTAATAATTAACACATTAAAACTAATTTTTTAACAACTAGTTTTCTATTTGGCAGGAGTGTCATTATTTTCTACAACCTTCTTTGAACAATTTTTTTTTACGCCTTTATCGAACCTTTAGAATTATGTAACCGTTTTTGTTAAAGGAGATAAAAAAATGTATAATAAAAAAAATTGTATCTCTACTCATAACAAAGTTACTAATGAGAATTTAATTTAGATCAGCCGGTACTATCATTAACTCTATGTAACTTATAATGGAGGGCCTAAAGCATCATTGCAAACCAATATTATGCGACACTTTTATAACTCTAGGTGAAATTGGTTTAATAGGGGCGTGTTATTAAGATCTAATTGGATGATTTAAAATTATGTGGACTTTATTTTGTAAATGTAAAGCTTGATAATCTCGTTCTTGTTCTTGTAGTCATTTAATAAAACAACTTCCTGTTTGAGCTATATACGCGTTATTAATTTTCCTAAAGAATTTTTTAAAGCTATTTTTATACTTTGTTTACTTAAGAATTTGGGCACTTTTTTTCTGCTTCCAAAATAAGTTAAAATATCATATTTAGAATTACTATTAGAGAATTAGTTTTTTATAAAATTATGATTTTTTTTTCCTTAGAAATGTTGTTTGCGACGATGGTATTTGTTAGATATTTAATTCAGTTGTAAACTCTGTGGAATTTAAGGGTATGGAGGTTAATCTATGAATGATAAAGAGGCGAAATTTATGTTGATATGGATAGCAAGGGGGCAAAAGGGATTTGGAGAAAAAACGAAAATTATTTTCTTTTTTAATGGTCAATGAAGATTAGGAATATTCAATACCTATCCATCAGTATTAGTAAAATAAATTAAAATGCCGTCGTTGTATTTATACCAATAGAGAAAGCGTTTAAATAATTGATATTAAGATGTATATATTTTTTTGAGCTCTTGATTCCAACACTATGCAATAATTAATTTTTGAGAATGTTTAGTTTTAATCACGATGTTCAAGTTAAAGGACAAATAAAATTTACTGGAAGCTTTGGAAAATAACAAGTTAAATAATTAAAATATATATTTTTGATAAATTATAATAATTTAGCCCTATTTCGAGCGTGTCCAAAAATGGGTTTCAATTATGTTCGTTTTTTAGCTACAATTACCCTCCTTTACAAGTTACCATCATTCCTGCATTCATAAGTATATATGGAGGAATAGGTCGAAAAACCTGCTTTCCATTATAGACTATACCACCGTCCGATAGACTAAAGAAAACAGACGCGAACAACCACCTGACCAAAACAAATCTATTGAAATTAAACAACCTGTCATGGTCAAAATAGAAAACACGCCCGCACACACACAGAGAGAAGCACCACCACCATCCACCACCTGTTTTGTGTTATTCAGCTTATCGAGAAGATGTTAGCTTTCGGCCGGCAGGTGCACTTGCTGTTGGTGGATCTTAAGACCGTATACGGCAGCGTGCCAGCGACAAACCTGTGGAAAGCAATGAAACATATTAAACTTAGGGACCGCACCAAATTGGTCCCAACAAAGGCCTCAAATAAGAATGCTGTCTGTAAGCCTATTTACGTTACTGAATAACGCAAACAGTATAAGAAATTGAGATTGGAAGTGAACATATCGAAAATATGCATCAAGACCTTCTTTTGGAGGATGAACAGAGCATCAAATCGTACTCAACTTACAAATAATTGCAATACCCTAGACCACGAAACAAATACCTAATTTATAACACTATTATAAAAACCACAAAGGTCAAGCTAAAAGAAAGGACCATGAGAATGCTGGAGGCAACACAATTTTGCTAATTAGTTTGAAAAAGTATACGAAACATATCACTCTGCTTATATATGTGAAAGCACTATTAAACATTTTGTTTTCCAAAAAAAAAAAACTACTGTAAATCTTAATTAATACGTCGAGATACTGATACATTTCCGAAACGTCTCTCTCTTTCAGAAAACTTTCGAAACTCTCTGATAGCGTTAAACTAGCGGTCCAAGTTTAACTTACCGAGGTACGGAGGCTTTTTTTACGGCATGCCAATCCCCTCCTCCCTCAACAATTTTTTTATTCCGTTGTGATTCGTTTTTAAGTTTTATTCAATAATAACTTTTAAGTTTTCGTCCGAGACTTTTTATTTTACATGTTTGTGTTCGTTTTATACCTGTAACCCTTTCCTCCTTGTTTCGTACCGATCGCACGCGCTTCTCATCAGACGCACTAACACGGATTCCGATCCAAGTTTCGAATTTTTTATAATTTTTTAATTTCCTCAAATCGCCTTGAAGAGCCAGGCACTAACGCGAATCGAACAAATCCTCGATTTTTAAGAGTTTTTACTTAAATAGGTGGTGTTGAGGTTTAATTAAACATTTAATGCGAGGACTAAAACTAATCTCACAAACACAAACTGTTGGTTAAAAAGTTACCAACTTATGGAATTATTCTGTGAGTACAGTATTGAGCACCTGATCCTTTACATTTCAAGCCATTTGCACAATATGTTTTCACAAGAACTCGTCATTGGCGAGGTCGATTTGGTGCATGTGGCGTAGTGGACTTTCTATCATCACTGTCTCTCTTCCTCTATCGTAACCTAGTTTCGTCTATTATCCAGACTTTGATTACATTCGTCGCCGTTTGGGCTGATATAGCCAATTTCGGTTGTGGACCTACTGGTAACATCTGTTCTTTTCGTCCACTATACTCTAGTATCCATGTCAGTGAACTGTGAGTGCTTCCATACTGTTTGACCGAAAATATTTTCTTTTATACGTATTTAACCAACAGTGAAGGCAGCAATAATCGCTAACAGGTCTTCCTGTCTTATGATTAAAGTATATGGCCAAGATATTTGCCTAGAGCCCATAGCCCAGATTTTGCAATAAACTCTCCACTTTTCCAACTGTTTTAGTTCAAGTAGCGTCCTCTGTAAAATTGCGAATAGGGTCGCATTAATTATTTATTATTATTATTATTTATTATATCCGTTTTCTTTTCTTTTTACAATGCTTATAAATGCTTATTTTTTGTGACAATAAATGTATGTCATTTAGTTGGTAAAATAGTTTATTACGATTTTAGTAACGTGGAACGAAAAATTTGATTTTTTTCTTGTTTTTGACGTTTTATAGTTGTAGCCAAATTCTTTCAGGCTTTCATTTATACAGAAAAAAAAAGATGAATAATATGAATAAAATAATTTAAAAGGTCGTTTTAAAATCTTAGCAATTTTAGTTAGAAGGGAATCACCTATAAGATGTTTTATGCGCATTCTACTAAAGGCATAATACACAGGGTGTTCCATTTGAAAAATGAGATTTTCTAGATTCGAAAATCAAGAAAATACATTAAGTATGGTGTGTATATACTCTTATTTTTACATATATTACTACTACTAGACCTACTAGTCTATCTATTTGGCAGCTTTTTCTTTTAATAACCTGGTTTTCCAAATAACAAGTCACATAACCTCAGATTATGTGAAAAGTATATTGGTGGTCATCTTCCGTGTAAATTTATTATTATCCAATTGCATTAATCCGCACTTACGTTACGTTCCTTTTTTGGCCATCTACATGAAACTCTACGCCCATTGTAAGCAAGCGTTCTTTTTCCCGTTTAGGTTTTTAGGAAAAACACGGACGGGTGCGAAAAACAGGTTGCTGTCGAGTGCCGACGAAGAATCCGACATTGCTTTCCGTAAACGACTGGAATTTGATGTGGAGGAGCCCTTAATATAATAGAGGAAATGTTCTCCAATGAAGTTACTTAAGTTCCGAGTATCAACGGATTTTTTAAAGAAATATTTATCGAAACCTTTGTGTGATATTTATATACTTAAAAAGTTTACATATATATACAGAATAAACCTCCTTTTCGCATAAGTAATATCGTTTTTATTAATCGACAATATCAAAAACCGGAAATTATTCAAAAAATTTATTTAAAAAAATTAAAACAACAAAAAAAACCTCTATATAAATAATAAGTAATAAATTAAATGTCAAACTGCAAAAAACAAAAAACTGAACAAACAAGAGGCGTGATTGTTTGTCGCCAACGCAGAATTACAGACAGAAAAAAAAAAATAAAACAAAACTGAAAACATTTAAACACCAAAAAAACCTCTACATGTAATAAACTAAATAAACTACTCGAATTATGTTTGAATAGATTAAAAAACATTTTCTAATTGTGTAATGTACAATTATTATTTAGTATTATTTAAAATTTATTCAAATTAAAATAAAAGAAACATTTAAACAACCAAAAAACTATATAATAAACTAATAAACAACTCTAATTATATTTGAATAAATTAAACTTTTAAACTGCAAAAACAGAAACTAAACCAAACTGAATTCAAATTGAACACATGAGACGCCATTGCTTGCCAAACAAAAATAAAAGAACCACTCTAGTTATGTTTGAATAAATTAAACAATATTATCTAATTTTATAATTTGTTATTAAATTATTATTTAAAATTTATTCAAACAAAAATAAAATAAACATTTAAGCCGCCAAAAACTATATAATAAACTAATACTCAACTCTAATTATTTTTGAATTAATTAAACTTTCAACTGCAAAAAAGAAAAACCAAACCAAACTTCATTGAAACGCGTGAGGTGCCATGGCTTACAAAACATTTAAAACACTATTCAAATAAAAATAATGCAAACGTTTAAAACAATAACAAAAATCAATAAATTAAACTTTCCATTCCAAAAAACAAAAAAACAAGGAATTGGCTAGAGTGCATTCAACAAACTAAAGTAACACGGAAAAAAAATTAAATATATTCCTAAAATAACACAACGAAACGCTGATATGACGTAAACATTTTCAAAAAAATAACGATACTACACCAAACTCCCTCACAAAAAAAACCAGTTTATTTTATCATGCGTAACAAAAAACTTCGACCTGATTTATTTCAACGCAAAAATATCCTTTTTTATTTTAATATCGATTAAGTACTAAAAATAAAATATTGTTACTGAAATGGCCCTAAACTGACATCATACATATAGGTCACATGATCTTATTTACCTAAGTTCCAAACTAATGGTAAAACGAAAAGAAAAGCGACTTGCATACCACGGTAAGAAAATTCTTAAATTTGTACATTATTTGTAATGATATGCCCTCGAATACACCTAAAAACTAAAAGAAAACAAACACCTTAAAACTAAAAACAAATAGAAGACCATCTCTTTGTACTACAAAAAAAACCTATAAACCTATATTATAAAAAAAATAGCAATAATATAACAGAATCCTAATATTAACATAACACAAAAATTTATAGCGAATTGAAGCAAAGACTAATACTGTGACATTTTTGACCGTTTCACGACTTTTGTTAATAATAAACCCGGCTTTTTGGCGAATTGAAAATAAATAGTGTAGCCATCTTGGATTTTTTGATACAGGGTGTCCAAAAATTTTGAAATCACCAAACGTGTATAAAATCCAAGGTTACATTTACGTTTGCGTTATTTTTTGTTTCGTGAAAAAGTGTGAAATTATCAAAAAATAGGACACGCTGAACGATACTGCGTACACAAAAATGCATTATAGGCCTTTAATGGAAAAATTTGGTCAAACCAACTAAAACAATCTAACTAAAACTGAAAGATATCGATCCTAAACAAAATTAACTATATACACAGTGTTTACTGGCAGTGAGAACCCCGAATGTACAAATGGGAAAGGGCCACTATGCAGCAAACATTTTTTACCTTTTGATCAACATTTGAGCGATTAAACTAAGTTAATCTAAATAAAGCTAACAAACGAAAAAAAAACGACTTACGTACTACATTAAGAAAATCCTTAAATTTTTACGATTGTAGTCCTAAAAAGGGAATTATCCAAAACAAACTAAAAAAAAAAAACAATCTCAAACCAACTAAAACAATCAAACTAAAACTGAAAGATATCGATCTTAAACAAAATTAGCTATATACACAATGTTTACTATCAGTGAGAACCCCCAATGTACAGGTGGGAAAGGGCCACTTTGCAGCAAACATTTATTTACCTTTTGAGACAAACATTTGAGCGATTAAACTAAGTTAATCTAAATAAAGCTAATAAACGAAAAAAAACGAAAAAAAAAAACGACTTACGTACTACATTAAGAAAATCCTTAAATTTTTACGAATGTAGTCCTAAAAAGGGAATTATACAAAACAAACTAAAAAAAAACAATCTCAAACCAACTAAAACAATCAAACTAAAACTGAAAGATATCGATCCTAAACAAAATTAGCTATATACACAATGTTTACTGGCAGTGAGAACCCCGAATGTACAGATGGGAAAGGGCCACTTTGCAGCAAACATTTTTTACCTTTTGACCAACATTTGAGCGATTAAACTAAGTTAATCTAAATAAAGCTAACAAACAAAAAAAAAACAACTTAAGTACTACGTTAAGAAAATCGTTAAATTTTTACATTTGTAAAGATATGCCCTCGAATGTAGCCCTAAAAAGGGAATTATCCAAAACTAATAAAAACCAAACTAAAAAAAAACAATCTCAAACCAACAATCTAACTAAAACTGAAAGATATTGATCCTAAACAAAATTAACTATATACACAATGTTTACTGGCAGTTAGAACCCCGAATGTACACATGGGAAAGGGTCACTTTGCAGCAAACATTTATTTACCTTTTGACAAACATTTGAGCGATTAAACTAAGTTAATCTAACTAAAGCTAACAAACGAAAAAAAAAACTTACGTACTACTTTAAGAAAATCGTTAAATTTTTACATTTGTAAAGATATGCCCTCGAATGTAGCCCTAAAAAGAGAATTATCCAAAACTAATAAAAAACAAACTAAAAAAAAAACTATAAAAAAAAACAATCTCAAACCAACTAAAACAATCTAACTAAAACTGAAAGATATTGATCCTAAACAAAATTAACTATATACACAATGTTTACTGGCAGTGAGAACCACGAATGTACAGGTGGGAAAGGGCCACTTTGCAACAAACATTTATTTACCTTTTGACAAACATTTGAGCGATTAAACTAAGTTAATCTAACTAAAGCTAATAAACGAAAAAAAAAAACGACTTACGTACTACGTTAAGAAAATCCTTAAATGTTTACATTTGTAAAGATATCCCCTCGTATGTAGCCCTAAAGAGGGAAATATCCAAAACTAATGAAAATCATCTCTTTGTACTACGAAAAACCTATATTATATAAAAAATAGCAATGTTACAAAATTCTTATATAATAAAAAATATTTCAATGAGTTTAAGCTAAGACTTATCTTCAATTTTTTTTTGTTTCCCATCTTTGACGGTTTCACGATGTTTGTTAATAATAACACGCCTTTTTGACAAAATGGACATAAATGCTCCAGAGTGATTTTAAAATGTTGCTAGTTAGCTTATCGAAAAGGTGGAAATTGTTTATTTTAAGTAGAATCCAGTGACGTAGTAAATTTTCACCTGAAACGCACTAAATTTGTTTTTTTACATGTGTTTTAATAAATTTATTCAGCTTGTTATAGGCTTCAACATATACGAAGTATTTCAAATTTTCAGTTTCAATTGTTATGACCAGGTAATAATTTTTTATTTTCCAGGTTCTACTTATTAAAAAAAAAAACAATAAAATTTTATTCTTATTCGAAAAGGCTCTTATGATCCATATTTTTGAAAAGCTAATGACAAATCTGCTAAAATCATAAAAAAAGGGGGTTCCATTAACAGCAAAAACATAAATTTAGTATACATATAAAAAAATTATGAGTTCCAGAAGAAATCCGACTATGGCACTGGATCCAAGGAAGCCTAAAAATGTAAAACTTTTAAAATCACCGTGTATCTAAAAATCTAAGATGAGATTTAGCTTTGCGCCATATTTTGTTTTGTGGAAAAGTGTAAAATTGTCAAAAAAAAATCTTATTTATTTTCTTATATTGCTGTCAGTGTAAGACTGCGTACACAAATATGTATTGTGGGCATTTAATGGCGCAATTTTGGCAAACCAAAACTAAAACGGGAAGAAATCGTTCCATAAACTAAATTAACTATATACACAATGTTTACTCGCAGTGAGAACCCCGAATATACAGGTAAAAAAGGGCCACTTTGAGGCAAACAATTAAATCCCTCTTGGCAGACATTGGATCAATTAAAATAAATTAATCTAACTAAAGCTAACAAAGTCCTTAAAATAAACCGATTATATACAGGTTGTTTGGCAATATGTACCCAGTGTGCCAGTAAAGGAGACAAGGTATTGTACTGGAGAAGGAAATGGGCAGACTTAGGAATTTCAAAAAAAAAATCATAATTTTAAAACTCGGTGGCTACACTGACAGGGAGAACTGCTTTAAAGCTAAGAAAAGTTGAAATCTTTTTTGTTTAATGCTGTTTACTCTATCTCTGCGAGGGCAGCGAATCTTCAAAAAGGCTTAACGCATTTTAGTAAAATCGGTGTCGTTAAAAAGGACTTTTTTCTTAAAGGCGTAAATCGTGTTATGTCTTGATTGTCATTCCTTATCTTGTCAAGTTTCCTGAAAAGTTTTGCTTAGTTTTTATATCATTATATCGAAATAAGGGCACAATAACGAGTGAAAACCGCATCTAAATATCTTCACACTCATCCAAAATATGAATAAAAAAAGAATTTAACGTTCAAAAAGTTGGATTTGTGAAATATTTCCACTGTACGCGTTGTCTAATTAAGTAGTACCTAAGTAATAAAACTTGCAGAACTTTTTAAAAAACGAATAAATAATAATAAATTAGCGTTTTATTTATGAATTAATGATAATTAGAGATTAATAACAACTGGTAAAGGGGATTTCTTTCCCAAAAAAACCTTTTCAGATTTTTTTATTGCAACTACGTCTTAACTCCACCTGGTGGCAAGGAAGGCAATCACAATCGCGTCAGACATACTATCAGTCTCGGAAAACCCCTTTTTAATTCTGAGTTAAGCCTTAAGCAAACGTTTCTATTTGTTGCCAAAGGCAAACATTCGATCAAATCGACCAAATTAACTCAACTGAAAGTTAAAAAAAATGGTCCCTACCTAAAAAAGTGAAAAGTTATTTGGTTTGGTTAATACTTTTAAACTACACATTGTGTGTGTATTTTGGTGGCTGAGACCACCCCGCACGAAAAATATATTTTTTTAATTCCTAGCAATTTTTCAAATTTTTATATATATAATTATGTGACGTTCGCAGGTCTGAATACTTATCTATCGAATGAAAGTTTTTGTTAATGTTGTTAATTTCCATACAGAAGGGAATCTTTTTCAGTGGTTTCTATTTATATTTTTACCGAAATGGGACCAGAAAAAAAACTAACCAAAATATTGATAGGAAGAAAGGCTGTATTAAATGATTAATAGAAAAATTGAAAAATATTACCGTAAAACTTTCACAACTTGCTCAAATATAAAGTCACCTTTTTTCTAAGTGCGAATTACGACAGAATAACAGAGAAAACTTTAGCGTTACTTTTTGATCACCCTGTATCGATAGATATATAAAGACTTCCAAACGTCAGTTTTGACATAATTTAGTAAGTTTAGTAAGTTAGTAAAAAGTAGCGCAATGGTCAAATATAGATTAGGAATTATTATACTTAAATTTATGAAATTAAGTCTAATTAGAACCACCATATACTAAATTTCATAAATTTGACGTAGGTGAAGTTTTCACATTTACGGTTTTTATTTCATTTCTCTGTATCCAGATTCACCGGTTTTAGCAGGAATGAAATAAAAACATACCGTTTCTCGTTAAAATAAAACAAAATCGGTAGCTTTGACCTATGTCAGCATTGCCTAAGTAGAAACCCCCGTATACTAAATTTTATTCATGTAACTACAACAAATCCTGAGATATGCGGCCGTTGCCCAACTTTTGAATAAGTATATGAAAGAATTTTACAGAAAATTCAAAAGTTATTGAATATATAGGGTGTTACTAGCCGAAATAAGAAAGTTGCTGCCTACTAGAGTGTATCTATAAAAATATAATATGAAAAAAGGGCCACACATATTACTAAAATCAAAAGAAACTGTCCTTAGAATAAAAATGTTAACCTAAACCTAACCTAAGTTACGGATTAGGTTATATCCAGGGTTTATGCAACATTCTCTACATCTAAAATCAGTAATAAAATAACGTATCCTTTCTCATTAACATAAAAAAGTTTCGTAGCTTAGGGAAAAATATACATGTGACAACGTGGCCAATGTCACCATTGCATCTAGGCCAAGTAGAAACCTCCATTATACTAGATTTTAAGAATTTAAGTACAATTCTTGAGGTATATGACCGTTGCTTAACTTTTGGCTGAGACTGTATATGAAACGAGTTCAAAATCTTACAAAAAATTCAAGAGTTGTTGTATGTACGTGTTACTATTTGAAATAAGAAAGTTGCTGGCTACTTGAGTATGCATAAAAATATAACATCTTTAAAGTACAAATGAATACAACTTTTTTCGATTTTTAACAGATTCTAATAAAAGTTAAATTAATCTAACTTAATCTAACTATGTACAGTGTTTGCCTGTCGTGGAACCCTCGAATGTACAAATGAAAAAGGGCCACTTCGAAGCAAACACACTTGTAGGGCTGTAATGGAAAAAATCGATCTAATTAACCGAATTTATATATAACTAAAACCAAAAATATTGCCCTTAAAGTAAACGTACTATCGAAATCTAACCTAAGTTATGGATAAAATCTATATAACAGGGTTGGTAAAAAATCACGCACCGACCACATATATCAGGAAATATTAAATTTAAATTTATAAAATTAAGTATACAGTGGTTCTAATTGGACTAGATCCAAAGATGAAATAGATGACGTTGCCACATTTATTGTTCTTTCCCTAAACTACCAAACGTTCTTACTATTAATAGGATGAAGCATGTTTTTGTTCCATTTTTGAATTGCCCTTAAAATTCCAAGTATTTTTTATGCAACATCTTCTATGTCCACAATCAACCGCTTTTGCAGTAATGAAATAAAAACGTCCCTCCTTTCTATTTAAAATAAAAAAATTTGGCCAACGTCACTATTGCATCTCTAGCCTAAGTAGAAACCCCGTATAAAAAATTTGATGAATTTAATTACAATAATTCGTGAGATTGAAGCCGTTGCTCAATTTTTGACTAAGCCTGTATATAAAAAGAGATTTTTTTTATTTTTAACAGATTCTAATTAAAGCTACATAAAATTAACTTAAACTAACTATTTACAATGTTTGCCTGTCGTAGAAACCCCGAATGTACAAATGAAAAAAGGGCCACTTCCAAGCCAACACTTCATATGGTGCTGCAACGGAAAATTCGATCTAAATAACCGAATTAATTTAACTAAGATAAAAGTGTTAACCTAAGCTTAACTACCTACTAACCTGAGTATAAATAAAAACATAATATACTTGAAGAACAAATGAATACAACTTTTTTTATTTTTCACAAATTCTAATTAAAGCTAAGTGACAAAGTTAACTTAAACTAAGCTAACTTAAACTAACTATGTACAGTGTTTGCCTGTTATGGAAACCCCGAATGCACAAATGAAAAAAGGCCACTTCGAAGCTAACCTTTCATATAGTGCTGTAACGGAAAATTCGGTTTAAATAACCCAATTAATTTAAATAAAATAAAAGAGTTAACCTAAACCTAACCAAAGGTATGGATATTTTTGTCATTGAAATAGAACGGTCAAACCTCGACACTAGTCCCATCACCCCTTCCCCCTCCAACACCTAAACGACTGACGTTAGCGCAGATGATCTGCAAAAACGAAAAAAAAATGGAAAAGCCACCACCAAAAAAAAGTGCTTACCGCTACTGCGCAGGGTGCTGAGCCTCTCGGGGTCGCCGGGTAGACTTTTACGTTTCCGTTTCCTCCCGCCACTCCCCTAACACAATTATTTATGATTATTAAACTTATTATTAACCTCAAAAATAAACTCTTACGGTGGGATCGACGTTGTCTTTGGTCCCGTTCGGGGGTTCTCCGTTTTCGGAATCTTCAACATTCCCTAAAACCACGTAAAAATCGCTTATTTTTTTGTATTTAGCGATCTACGGGATGGCGGAAACACTTGATAACTTCTAGAGCGACAACTTCAAGTATATCAATTTTGGATATCGTGGCGGCAATTCGACGCTAAGAGAATAAATCTCAAAGAAAACTCTAGCCTTCGAGAGTTGGAGTCGGACAATTGGTTAATTCCTCACTCCCAGAAAACTGTAAATGGCGAGGCAACTACAGCTCATTATCTCATTGGTTTGAAAAGTTATAAGAAGATAGTAAAAGTTGTAAAGATTGTTAGGATGCACAAGTTAAAAATAGTTTAAAATATACAGGGGGGTTCAATAAAGAAAAACATTTTTTTTAAACGGAACACTACATTTCTAAGTTTATATTTTGAATTCCTTTGAAACTCCTTCAAGTTTTTTAATAATACCGTAGTACCGTGCGTTCAATTTATCCTGATAACATTTTAATTGGCTGTAACTTTTTTGTTTTTAGAGATGTCAAGGTAAATAAAAACAAAA